GTCATGAAACTTAGTACAGTGAAAAAAGAAGTTTCTTTTCCTTTTTCTGGCCCGCACAATTGCAGACCCTTATCTTAGATACCCTTCTAGAGTCACCATCACCCTCGAATGCCTATTTTGAATCAAGAGCAATTCCAGTGGGCAGCAAACACCATAGGGCCATTCTACGGGGTATGAAAGACCATAGGCACCATAGGCTGAATGCTCTTCTCTCTCTCTCTCTCTCTCTCTCTCTCTCTCTCTCTCTCTCCATCACCTGTGCCACCTCCCCATGTAATTTCAGAACCCCTTACTTGAGAGAGAAGGCTTTCAGATTTGCAATCACTCTCACTTGGCTAAGCAAGTATATCCAAGTTCGAGAATACTGATGATGATCAAGAGGGAGAAAACAACTGGTAGAATCTGATTAATTTTTTGAAGAATCTTTGCAAAATCCAAGTTCACGTAGGCGAATTCGGCATGTGTTTTTCCCGTTTTGATCACAGAATCCGGATCTACTCAAGTTTTTAATTAATAATATGATAATGATCAAGAGGGGATCCCCTATCCAAGTTCCAGAATATCGATGCTGATCAAGATGGCCACTTGATTTGAATAAAGAAAGGAGGAGCAGAAGAAGAAGCAGAAGAAGAAGCAGAAGAAGAAGCAGAAGAAGCAGAAGAAAAGAAGAACAGAAGAAGAAAAAGAAGATGATGATGATGATGATCATGATGATCATGATGATGATGGTGATGATGATAATGATGATGATGATGATGATGATGATGATGATGATGATGATGATGGGCAACCACTTCAAATACCCCCAATCAAGGAGTGAACGGTTTCCACTTCAGAGACACAGCTCCACAGTGAAGGAGGTATCTTTTCCCTTTCGTGACACGAGTTTTGTTCGACCCCCAAAAAAAGGGAGTCGTGTTCGACGCAAGAAAGCACATGACACTGAAGAAAATGAAATTTTCATTTTTGTGAGAGGATAGTACGGATGTATCTTTCCTCAATCAAGGAGGTATGCATCCATTTCACACTTGCGCAAATTAGTGATGCGCTCAAATGTTTTTTTGTTTTTTTGTTTTAGGGGTGTGTGTGTATACAGGGAGACAGAGAGAGAGAGAGAGAGAGAGAGAGCTGTCTCTTATACACATCTAGATGTGTATAAGAGACAGTCCATACACCATGTGCATCCCACAAGAGCGAGTA